AGAGATTCTTCGAAAACGAGTTTTTCTACAAATCTACCAAAAATAAGTAAATTAGTCGATTGTGGAAAAGTTCAACTACCAGTCCTTCATCACCTTAAACGAGATATGGTAAATACGTCTCATATAAATATCATTGCCGAAAGTAATAGCTTATACATTTTTGCCTCATCGACATCCCATAATAGAGGTTACTCAGGAGACGTCCGGTCCACCTTGAAAGTAACATTGGCACTCAAACGTTGCTGTATGGCAGGGTGATGATGCGCTCGATTCCAGTCTGAGTTCCATTGATGGTGTGATGTCAAAACTAAAGTTCAGCCTAAATGAGAATAGATTTTGTGTAAAACCATTTTTTAACGTCGTAATGGTAAAAAAAATGCAATTTTCAGAGTTTACATCATCTAAAGCAATCCAGAATGAGCACAGTCTGGCCCTGAATTTCCTATCAATTCACTGAAAATTCGTCCGTCTATCAGCATTCAATTATGCATTACATTGTTCATTAAATTGTTTGCAATGCTTGCTTACGTTTGGCTAAAAAACATTCTACTTTTTTCCGCTTCACTTCAGCCCGACCCAGCATCCTCGAGCCCGACTCCAGACAGCGTCAGATCGAGGCACGTCCAGGCCAAACGGTGACGCTCGAGTGCGAGGCGTCTGGAGTGCCTCCGCCCATGATCATCTGGCGCTTCAACTGGGGCTGTCTTCGCGATCCAACACGAATGCGTTCTGAACCACTGACCAGCCGACTTGGCTGTCGCGGATCTCGTGGCCGTCTGGTGATCGAGTCGTTCCGTGAAGGCGACGATGGCATCTACAATTGCGAAGCCCTGTCCGGCAAGGACAGAGCCATGTCGCAGGACATCTACGTGGTCATGGCCGTCTAACAGGCCTTGGCCTGGACAGCCTTTTGAGCAGAACTTGTCACAGACTTACTACAAACGCATTGCACACAAACAGACATACAGGCAGACAAACATGCAGAATGAAAGAGGCACTTGGCTATTGTAGAATGCTCCACGAGTTTGTCTTTAATGCTTTCAACATAGGCAACTAATGGAACATACTCGCTAAAACATGCTGTTCGAACAGAGGCAAGAGCCAATGGATGTCTACTCCCTATAAGGGGGAGTATATGAAACATCATTATATATTATACATTTATAGATTTAATAGTAATGTTTTTACTCCCTATAAGGA